TCACAAAACAGCTGTAATAAAACGATACCTTCAGGTAAATCCTTCAGTCAGCGAGTTTGGGGAGTAGATAAAATACATGTATCAATATTTGCTGTCACAGATCTGATGATGGTGGACGTTACTGTGCCAGCAGCGGTTGCTATAGCAACAGCATGTCCAGCTGAAACCGACTGATGGTGACAGAACAGTTATACAGAAGAGGCACAACATTATCACTACTGTGATTACCGTGAAAGCACTTATGTTACAATCAGGCACTGGGTACATTTGTAATCAGGAACTTACAAAATAGCACTTTAAAGGACGTCTGGTGATGTTATATGAATTTTTCCTACTGTCAACAAATCACATAAAAGACTGAAAACAACAATGAATTCATCACTGAAATGTGTGTGTGTATCTTATTCCTCTGGTGTCGAGCGCCATTATATTCCAAAAAACAATTAAACTAACAATGAGTCACAGTGTTGCACTGGGTGACATGTTCCTTCATAACCATGATCCCAGCCCCACAAACACTGTCCTACTGTGAGTAAAAACCGCTAAAGCACCAAATCTGCTGTTAATTACAGACCCCAATAATGCACCACTTCCTGTTTAAGTATTAAATACAGTGCTCGGTTGTTTTAGGAAATATCTAAACCTTTTCTTAAACAAACAGATATATTCATGCTTGTTTTTCTTTACTATTTCTAGTACAGAAATATGTTTTAAAATATATATGATAAATGAAATGTAATAATCATGTTTTGCAGCTTACAGTCTTTGAAGTGTCAAGAAATGTGAAACCCCACTAGGTGGGGCCTCATATTTAGAAATGAAAGAAGCCCCGCTCTGTTCAAGTTTCATTTCTGATCAAAACCGCTGCTTAAACCATAAATTTACTTCTTAAAGAAATGGCTAGTCGATCCCTAACATAGGGAACAGTACAAGGTATATTTTACTGCCACAGTGCTATTGTGTGATCACTGTAGTAACCAAATTACAGTGTGCAAGTAAACTGTAATTGTAGGATATTGGAAAAATAGTAAATGCCATTACCTTTCCTGCTGCAGGATTTAAATAGAAAACTAAAAGGTGGCTCCTATTGTGTCCTTTTTATTTATCTATATATTTTATTTTTAATCACATTCTTTTGTAAGATGTTTGTAATAACAGTAGTACAGTATTAGTTGCGGTTTTTGGAAAACTAGACTTTGTAATAGTAATAGTGTTGCGTAGGTATGAATGACATTTCTGAATTTCCGCATTTTGCCAAACACGTCATCAGAAATGTTGTAAGAGACTGTTGAGTGAACTCTCGCTGTCTCAGAATGGCAGCGCCGGCCTTTTTTTCTCTCAGTTGAGACTCAGTTTGTTTCCTGTACAGCCGTCAAACGCTCTGTAGCATCAACAACATGGCTATACGCAGAAAAGACAGCTTCCTCTGGGGGAAAGGTACGCTATTATTCCCTTTTTTATCATTATTATGTATTATTATGAACAACTGCTGCTTAAAAACAAATACCAAGGTTATTGTGAGATGATTAAAGGTATATTTGGTCAAATTAGTCTATAGAACTTAAAATGCTACTAATTTACATGTTGTGGGTTTCCAACTTGAGATATGTTGACTAAAGTATCTTCTTGTATGTTTAGCTTTTGTCTGTAAATGTCATTTCAAAAACTATACCTTAACACGTATTTGAAAGTTCTGTTATTCAGCTTTTATATCATACCTGTGCAATATAATTATTTGTTTACCTAAAACTTAACTTGCTGTTACTATGCTGCAAGTCCTCCTCCTGCACAAATCCATCCATAAATCATTATGAACTGTCCTTCAATGGCATCAATGCACATAAAATCAACCTGATTCAGTAAAGAAAGGAAGCGAAACTGCTATTTTCAGCCTTTCTTTTTCTCTCATTCATTGACCATTTCTCGAACTAGTGAAGGATAAAGTCATGGTGTATGCTGGTCTGTGAGAACGAGTGTAGGCGTGAGGAAGGTTGTCAAGACCGACTGCGTGCTACTATATCTCAAGTACACGTATATATATATATATATATGCCACCACTGTACTTGTCTCGGTGCTGAGGTGTGTTGTCGCCCCACAGCTCCACCGAAGCTCCCACCAGGAGAGCGAAGGCCGAGTGAAACAATCAAGATTCACAAGTTTGAGCTGCTGGATGACATTCAGGTACTGTGGGGAACATATGCGTCCAAGGCCTTACATTAAAATCCCACATTATTCTTTTCCATGCACCCACTCCTGGCAGCCTCGCCGCAGCTTTTTCACAGCACACAAAGGCATTTTATTCACCAACTTTTAATTGAGATGTGAAGGTTATTTTATAACTGTGGGGGACAAATTGGCCCTCTGAGTCAGGTACCACTGACTCTATGGGTGTCTGTGATGTAATAACATCACTGCTCTCTTTCTCAACTCCCTCTCTCAGAAGCTGAGGTTGGAGATCAATCACGTCATGCCTGAAATCCACAGCCCTGAAATGAAGGAGCAGAAGTGAGTATGAGAACATTTTCTTTGGAGTGTCTCTTTTGTGAGTCAGCATGGCCTCGCTCTCTTATTTAAAGTGACGCTTTGATGGAGTTTAGACTCCCACACCACACGTAATTCTCAGTTTGACAAAGTCATGCGAGCGGCTTTAATGTGATTTTTATTTCAGAATTCAAAAAAGTTTCCACTATTCTGCCTCTGCAGTTGAACTCTTCTTTGAACCTGCTAATCAGACCTTTCAACATAATGTTTATTAACATTTATTTTTGTGGAAATGCTTCTCATTCAGTGGTTCCAAACCTTTTGTGTAGCCACACAGCCCTATGATATGAGTTTAAGTACCTGTTTCAGACAGCCATTTATCCATTACTTAAAGCTAACTACTTCAGCTTAATTTCATACATTTACCCATTATTGTTAGCCAACTATTCCAATGTTCCATGTCTTTTTGTGAGCTATTTTCTGTTTATCCTTCACTTTTAGCTAATTATTTTATTTATCCATCCCTTTTAGTTAGCTTTTAGCTTTTTTCACACATTTGGAATGACATAAGAAATAATAAGACATAACTTTTCAGTTGTATTAAGTAAGTATTTTGTGTTGCCCATGGTGGACTGTGGACAGAAGACTGTCTGACAGACCTGATCTGATGTTTTAATCCTTAATATAATTGATGCAACTGTGCTTTACTCTATTTACTCTTAATTCCTTTTACTTTTATGTTGAGAGTAGCAGAGGACTGAAATTGATGCACCAAAAGTACAAATTGGTCCATACAAATTCACCAGGATGCAGGAAATGAAGTGTCTGACAGTAAAAATCTCATGGGAGAGGAAGCGGACACCCAGCTTGATTTGTGTCCCCCGGCAATGGGCCGCTGGCAAGGTCTCCCTTTTTTATCCACCTTGTGCCTTTTCACTGAGGACATATATGTCTAGATGGAGGGAAAAGTGTGTTCATGCCGGCCTGTACTTCAGCTCTGAGTGTAATAAAACTGCAGAGAGGTCTGGTGATATTTTGAGTGATGGGCGTCTTTTTACATAGTTTAACTTCCTTTTGCTTTTTGCCGTGGCTTTAAGAAGGTGATAATAACATGCATGATAGTGAATGTTGATACAACTGCTTTACTGGCATGATAACCACAGTTTCTCAGTAGCTCCTCCTCCAACCCTAAAACCCTCAACACCCACCACATGATAAAATACACCCTCGCAAATCATGATGGAAATGGTCTGACAAGTTTATTATAAAAATTAAACAATTTATTTCATATTTTGAGAGTTGATTAATCATTAAGTCACCTTTCTTGAGTCAGAAATAATAAAACAGTTACATGTAGTATGCAGTATGTAATATATAAGATCAAAGGAAGTCTAGTCCAAGAAAATAGTCTTCTCCAAGCATATGAAACATCTGATTAACATCTCTGTTTGTCATTTAATTTATTATTAAAATATAAATTTAAACTTATTATTTGAAAAACTATTGTTTGTAATAACAATTGTTATCTTTTACTTACTTTGCAGTAAGAATGTTGTGAGGAACAGAAGATTCTTACGTGGGAAAAAGAAATTCAACATGGACCCCAAAAAAGTGAGTTTATATAAACAGGAAAATAGAATTTAACCATTTTAGAGACAAATATTGTACTTTTTACTCCATTACATTTCACTGACAGCTTAAGTTACTTTTCAGATTACTTTCTTATACCCTTCCTGTCCAGTAAAAAACATGTACCTAAAAATTTGGTGATTTTTAATTGCATAAACTGAATAATGAAGTGTCTCCTACTTCTTGAAGGACCTTGAGGGTCTGTAGGATTTAGTGGCATCTAGTGGTGTAGTTGCAGATTGCAACTCACTCGTTTCACCCTCCCTTTCCAAATCACAGGGGAGAAATTACAGTAGCAACAAAAACAGCCAACGTTTACTGTGATTATACACTAATAAAAACACAACTATGAATATTATATATTCAATTTCTGACAATAGATCCTCCTAAATGTTACACACTGGAAGTTAAATACACTGTATAAAAACCTTTCTTGGATTAGCTGCATTGCATTTTCACAGGACACTACAAATGTGGGAGATAAACAGTACTAGGAGGGGTAGTAAAATGTATATGGTCCTGGTCAGGGGTTGTGTTTTATGGTAGGAAGCAAAATTTGTGCGTACGCCATTGT